ACATTCGCTGCAAAAGGGGGACTCTACTCTTCTTTCGGTTGGATGTGCCTGAAGTGTCAGTCGCCCTTTCGATGCCCAGGCGACGCCCTCACTCATGCCAAGCGAGGACTGTGCTGCCCCACCATTGCCAAGAGAAAGGCTCAAAGGAGGGTTGATGCCATCACAGCCCTCACCAAGGCCCACACTAAGAACACTCCGGCAGGGCCCACCAAAGCGAGAGAGAGCGACCTGCTCCGTTCTGCCATGACGATTTTCAGTTTGCCGCTTTCGTCCGCATAGCCACTTTAAACACTGCTGGCAAGGGCATTTCGGTCATTGATGAAATTTCCAATTATATGGACAGCCACCATCTTCAGATATGCACTGTGGCTGAGGTTGATGTCAATGTGGCCTCCGCACCTGGCTACATTCGTGCGTGGAAACTTAGAGGATACCAAGCTGCTCTGTCTGTGCCTGAGCCTTCGGGGATTTGCAGAGTTGCCTTAATCAGCCGTGTGAACTTTCGGGTTTTTAAAATTGCTGAGGGCCTTGCTCAAAACAGGTGTGCTGCGGGGCTTTTCGAGTTTCTCTGCAATGAAGAAGTGTGCCAGTTTGTCATCGCTTCGTTTTATGGTCAGTCTGGGAATGCACCTGCAGCCGCAGCGCAAGCTGAGGATGTCCTTGCTGCATGCAACCACAGTAATCTTCCATACATCGTAGCGGGTGACTTCAATCTAGAACCCAACGAATCGATTCTTGGTGAGGCTCGGGCCACGGGAGCCGTTAAATCTCTCGACGATGCATCTGGTGGTGCCCCTTTACCTGCTACTGGTCCAGGGCGCAAAAGACGAATTGATCACGGGTTGTGCCACTGGTCGGTTGCTGCCAGTTCGATTTTGCATTTCGACCCCCACTTCTCTGATCATGCTTCGGTCTGTTATGAGGTCCCACTCGATGTTCCACCATTTCATGTCGGGCCTCGGCGCAGACCCATGAACAATGATACCAAGGATGTCATCGCCGACAGGTTTTCTCAATATGACTGTGCACCTTTTCGGGAGGCAATGGCCCAGGGGAATGTCGATAATGCATGCGATTGGGCAGAAGCCTGCCTCACTACGAACGACACGGAGGCCCAGGCCCGAAGTTGCATCTGGAAACCGCAAAAACTTGCCAGGCAGGCTCGTAATTGCATCCAGGGATCGGCTGCTGTAAGGGCTTTGGCTAAGCTTCAGCGTCAGCTCGCGGCTTGGACTGAGACAAGCGACCAACATGTTTTGGCAAAAATTTTTAGGTCGCTGCCCCGTGTCCGTGCCCTTGTCCCTGATCTCCCCTGGGTTCAGGAAGACCGTCTTTCCGCGTTGAGTGACTTTGTCAGCACTGCGCTCCTCCGCCACCAGGCACAGGAAGCTGCAGCTGTCAAGGCCCAGTGAAAACAATTGCTTCGTGATGATGTCAATCGCCAACGCACTTTTGTTAAGGCTAGGGCGGATGCACAGCTTGAGTTTGAAAAACAGCAAGTCGATAATCCTGCTGCAATGTCTGCTGGCCCCGTTCACCCTTCGGTTATGGTTCGGCAGCAAGCTCAAGCTTGGGTCAGCAAGTGGCAGGCCAAACCCCAAGTTCACCACCATGCCATTGACCTGGTCTTAGCTAAGGTGCCATCTGTACGGAGTACCCAGCTTGATATGCAGTTTAATGCCGAAAGCCTCCGCTCCATCGCGGCCTCGATTGCGGATAAAGCGCCGGGGCCTGACAGCTGGCAGGCTGGCTGTCTGTGCAACATGCCCCTAGCTTGGTGGGCCATGGCAGCTGAGCTATGGTCCCATGTCTGGTCCACTGCTGATGTCCCTAAGGCTTGGAAGTATGCAAAAGTGACCCTTATTCGGAAAAAGGGTGGGCCTTCCACCAGGCCCATCACTTTGACACAGATCATGTGGCGAATTGGTGCCAAGTGTGTGGCTCGGGCCTTGCGCCAATGGGCCCCTGAGTGGGCTTCGGATAGTGATCACGGAGGACTTCCGGGAAGATCCATCAGTGATGTACTCTTTCAGGTTCAAGCCTCACTACACCGTGGCGCTTCAACAGCTGCATTGATGGATGTAGCTGGTTATTTTGATGCCATGAATGCTACGATGTTGCGGAAGGTTTTTACCCACTTGGGTGCGCCTGTGCAGTTGGCTCCTCTCTTGGAGTCGTTCTACTCTGGAGCCTACAGATACTTCTGCTTTGAAGGATCGTTTGATCCGGAGTGTCATGTGGTGCACTCTGGTCTTGCGCAGGGCTGCCCCCTCAGTCCCGTTGCGGCGGCAGCTTTGTCACACTGCTGGAGTGCGTACATCAAAGCTTCATGTAGCCATGTCAACGTGCAGATTTTTATGGACGACCGAACTTTGCTGCTGGAGCCGTCTGGAACCTGCCGGGACCTGGAGCAGGCGCTACGTGCAAGCGCCGCTTTTGATTCGGCATTTTCGCTTTGTCTTTCGCCCGATAAATGCTTCATTGCCTCTCGCTTTTCGAATGAGCTTACGACTCAGCTTGCAGCCCGATGGAATTTCCTAACATGTTCCACGCTTGATTTGTTAGGTGTTCGCTTTGACTTTGATGGCAAGGGTAATATCCCCAAGTTTTCGTTGAGGAAGGCGGTCCTCCGTCTAAGGCTGTTACGCTGGACTCAGGCCTCCACTAGGGCCCGCATCAACTTGGTGAGGGCCCTAATCATGCCGGGCCTCGGGTTTTGCTCAACCTTCCCGTGGCGACATTGATGAGGTACGTGCCGAGGTAAGGTTTCTGTTCAGCAGCGGCTATGGTGGCGACACAGCCACTGTAGCTTTCTTTGAGTTGCTGGGCTGGGGGCTGGAACCCCACTTTGCGATCGACCTGGGCTTGTGCAGACTGGCATGGCGGTGGATTGCCAAGCCACCCGTATGGCAGGAGCTGCTTCCCATCACGGCGCGCCCTCAACAATGGCTCGTCTGTCTTCCGCAGCTCCAGGCTTTTTTGGACAGAACAGGTTGGTGGCTCAACGACCAGGCTGATGCCTTTTTCAGGCGGGATACTGAGGGTGGGCTTAGGAAAATCCACATAGGTTTTGAGAGCTTCAGTGTCATTAAGATACGGCTTGAGGATTTTTACCGTGACCAATACCTTCGGCGATGTAAACGGGTGACTCAGAGCCTGCATAGGCCACCCGACCCGGACTTAGCTCAAGGGCTTGACTTGCCGGGCCCGCCGCCTGCTTACCGCGTTCAGTTTCAAGGGCATAAAGCCGTGTTGAAGGAACAAGCTTCTGTTCACCGCCGCCGTGCGGCCTTCCTGTCCGGAGGCACCACTTGGTTCTTCAACAAGGCAGCTCCCGCTGCTAGTCTTCACAACCGCACCCGATGCCTCTGTGGAGCATCCCGACCGAGCAGAGCTCATCTCCTGTGGACCTGTCCTGCTACAGCCGACCTTAGGAGAGACCTTGAGTCCCCTGCCCACCGTGGCGAAGAAAGGTTACTCTCAAAACACTTGCGGGAACAGCCTCTTCCGCCTCCGGCTGTGGATGAGGGAGGTCTCGTTGAGGAGATAGCTGAAATCATTCAGGAGGAGTTGACTTCGTCAAGCACCATCGCGATTGCCACTGACGGATCTGCTAAGAATGGAGTCGCGGCTCATTCGGTAGTTGTCAACAAATGCGATCGTGCCTTCTTCGGGGGAAATGAATCGGAAGATCAGACTCCCTTCAGGGCTGAAATGTGCGCCTTAAAGCTTGCTCTTGAAGCCGTACACGCTGCAGTCAATCATGGTGCCAGGGGCAGTGTCATCATTGCTGTTGACTGTGAGGCTGCTCTTAAAGCTCGCTTTAACTGCCCGTCGATGCCTCTTTTTGGAGTGCGGCTCAGGTCACTTGTTGCTGCAATTCGAAGTTACGGGTTTAGGCTCACCTTCACTTGGGTTCCTGCTCACAACCGTCACCCGGAATGGAAATCACCGTTTTCTGACTTCAGTGCCGAGCAGCTGAGGTCCTTAAACGATGCCGCCGATCGCACAGCCAAGGCCTGTGTGGACAGGCGACTCCGAGGATCGCTAAGGGAAAGCTGGCTTGCCGATGCGATGCTCGCTAGGAATTGGGAAGTCAATGCTGTTCGCGCTTCTGCACGGGCAGCCCAACGCCTTAGTGACCACCTTGAAGCTTGTTCCGCTGCAGGCAGTTCTGCCGTTGAAGTGCCTGACTGCCAATCCAGCCTTCACCCGGGGGCTGGTGTTTAGGGTTTAGTCCTGGTTGTCCCACCTTCTTGTGTCTCCAGGCTGCCGTGGCTGCCTGCGAACTTGAAGTACAACCACTCGACAGGGAGTGGCACGCTGCTTTGCCGAGCGCCGTGTTTTCTGCAACTGGGCTTTCTTGCCTGTGTGCTTGCTCTACAAACCGTGCCTGGCCGCTGTGGCTGCCAACTCTGAAGCACTTTCCGCTGGGCTACGTTGTGGCACTAGCTCGGCTGAGCTGTGGTGTCACTGCACTTGAGCTCCCTCGTCTGCCAGCTGTGTGGCAGTGACTGGTCTTCGCTGGCAACTGGTCGCTTCTGGCGGCGCGGCTGCTGTGGCGACTGGGCTGCTGAGGCTTTTCTTCGTGCTGCGGGCGAGGTGTTCTGAGTTTCCGAGTCGTCGCCAACTGAAGCTCGTTGTACAGTTCTCTGTAAAGTACTGTTTGAGGCTTAGCCTTGTACCTAGGTCCTGCTCTGTACAAACTGAACCTGTAGGTACTGTAGGAGCGGAGTCGCACTAGTGCTTTTGACTCCTTTTGTTATAGTCTGTCCACTTGAGCCCCTTGTACACCTAGGCTCTGTGTTGACTTTTAGTACAAAACCGCAGACAGCTCCTGTTGTGCCTGTACACCCCTGCACCAACGGAGTTACCTCACCCGAGAGTCGAAGTCTTCACGTCGGACCTCTGGCTACCGTGAATACCGGCTCCATGTATAGTTGTTTGCACACCTCTAGTAGTACAGTACTCGAGACACGTGCCGCGCGTGAGACTGCAGACACGTCTTGTGCTTTCGAGTGCAGGGCGCGAGAACCTAACAAGCAAAAAGAGTCCCTGCTAAGGAAGGCGATGACCAC